AATTTATAGACAGCTATATTTGTAGATATTTTAATTATCGAAAGTAGAAAGTGAGGTTAAGTAGATCTGGCAGTAGTCGAATTTTTTGATTGGTTTAAACGTTTTTTTACTCGATTAGACCCGAAATTCGAAAAAAATATTCTTACTGTACGAGCGGAAGAAGAAAAGAATAAAACATTGTTTTTAATGGTTTTTAAAGGAAAATATTTAAAAATTGAATAGCAACGGCTTAAAATAAAGATTAAGAGCATTGTAATAGCTCAACATTTTTGTTTTCTGACCGGTTATAAAATTTTTAGGTGGGACTTTGAAAAAAAATGTTGCTTTAAAATAAAGCACCCTAATACATAATATATTATATGTATGCATACATACTCGAGATTATGCGCATTATTCACTTGAATGATTTGAGTCTCTCGTCTGGCGACTGGACAGGCAAAACTCATCCTCGTGAACAGAGCCGGCTTAAGGCAATTGAGCGCCTTAGGCACTTAAAAATTTGGCTCCTCTAACTAGATACTATACTTACGGGGCCCGGGGCAAATTTTAAAAAAGCTTATTAGAGCCACCCCAAACTGTTAGCTTAAGGGCGCCCGAGAATTATAACCCAATTATTCCCTATGAATTAGAATACTTTTTATCATTAAAAAAATACATAAATAACATACAAACATAACAAATATAATGTAAATAAAAAGTGTTAGGACTTATAACTGCGTTTTTCTGCAAGATGTCATTAGTAAGTATTTAAAAAAAATTAAATCAACTTTAATTTTCTGTATTTGTATGTTAGATGTAGGTACTGCTGGTTTATTGTAATTAGTTTAATATTAAAATTTCAGAAATACCGTAAAGCAAACAGAAAAATTAACACTATCTAAATGTGGATTTAGCCAGCATTTTGTGTAACGTAATCTAACGTAACGTAATTAAATTTAAAAGGCAGGCTAAATCAACCTTAACTATCGAACACAGACTGCTATCACCAAACACACAATACATAGAAGTGCCACTCTTGAATAAACGCGAAAACACCCAAGTCCTTCCGGCAGCAGTTTCCTCTAGTATCGCGTACCCGCTGGGGTGAGCAGCACATCACAGCGGGCACCCGATGCAAGAGGAATCCGTGTGCTTGGAGCATACGGGGGTTTTGAAATAGTTTAAAGAGTGCTAAAGATATGTTTATACAGAAGTGAATTTGCGGCACGATTTTTGTCGGCTTTACACCTCGTTATTACAAAGGAAGCTAAATTTTTATAAAATAATAAAAACAGTAAAAAATATTCTGTTATTATAATTGTATATTGTTTATTTGTTTTATTTTTGGAAAAAATAAACATTTTGGTAGCAATTTTTATTTTTTTTTAAGTTGCTTGGGGACAAGGCGCCTATTTCTACGTGGCGCCTAAGGCAATTGCCTTGCCTGCCTAATGGGTAATATGGCCCTGCTCGTGAATAATAGCCGGCATTATATCTCGTATACAGGGTCGTGCTGGGCCGCCGGGACGCGTATTGGCATTGTGTACTACTATACAGAGCCATAGTGTTCTGAATCGTAGTAAGGATTGACAAAATTAAACGCCACTAAGTACAATACAATCCATACTACGATTCAGCACATCTCCCAGTTTGTGATGTTCTGAATCATAGTAGAGAATGTTGAAGTGTTTGCGCGAATGCAGCAGGCCATACTTTACTGCGATTCAGAAAATATTGGCAATATATGTGCCGCACGCATAAAGTGATAAGCCAGAGTTATAGGTTATGTTAGAAATTAATTGATAGTAGTGAAACAGACCCAACCAAAAATCTCACTGACAATATTTATTTTTTATTATCGATTTTTCAAGTTAATTAACTTAAAAATCGTTTTACCCTAAAATTTTATTTGGCTTTATCATCGACAATCCAGGATTGTCAATCCTTAATAGATTTTTTTATAAATATTTTAGTAGTTAATGCCCTCATGTTTTTCTTTCTTAAATATAAGAGAAAAAAGCAAAGGATTTTATATATTTAAAAAATAAAAAATATAACTTTAAATTATTATATCAATCTATGTATTTTTATTTGGTGTCTATTAAAGAAAACAACACAATACAAAATATAATATAATATAATACAATACAATACAATAAAATAAAATTTCTTATTTATGTATATTTTATGTTTATGTTTTTGCAAAATTAATAGTTTTATAAAACGTACAACTTTTTCAAATATTATTTAAATCCGTTGTGGTACGTTTATATCTGATATATCATTTTAAACTTATTAACAAAAAGATCGTTTTACCCAAAAATTTTGCAAGTATACTTGCAAAATTTTTGGGTAAAACGATCTTTTTGTTAATAAGTTTAAAATGATTCCTTTGGGTTAATGTATATTTATTATTAAAACTGCAGAGAGTACCTAGTTTGTTTTTATTAATATTTATTAATAAATAAATTCCAATTAAAAATAATAATTTGTTTTTATTGATAAGGCGTGCAGCTAGCGTATTTGTAGGTAAGCTATCCAACTACAATTCAAATTAGAATACTATTTTCTGAATCGTAGTAAAGTATGGCCTGCTGCGGTCGCGCATACCCTACACCATTCTCTACTATGATTCAGAACATCACAAACTGGGAGATGTGCTGAATCGTAGTATGGATTGTATTGTACTTAGTGGCGTTTAATTTTGTCAATCCTTACTGCGATTCAGAACACTATGGCTCTGTATCGTAGTACACAATGCCAATACGCCGCCGGGACACCGGGAGAAATCCCGGTGGGCCGGTGGTCCGGAGGGCTAAGTGGGCCGGTGTGGCGGAGGGCTATGTAGGCAGCATGCCGCAGCACGTGGTCAATTAAAAACTTTTTTAGTTGAGTTATGTATAAATATCATAATTATTTTACACATACCATGCATGCCAGCCTGCCAGCTTTGTTTCTTTTTTCGAGATTGTATATTGTTTATAAGTTTCCTGAGCGATGATAATTTGTATTAGTTTTTATTTTAAGTGCAATGCTATATGTTTTTGCATTTTGTAAAATATTGTCTGGTTGTGTTTGTTGCCTGTTTGTTTTTTTAATTTATACTTTATGTTATTAATTATTAATAAATGTTTTAACTTGGCTTTGTTCACCCCCCATTTTTCGTGTGTAGTTGGCCGATTTTTCTGAATTTCCCGGGCCGCACACTGGGAGGAATTTCAAAAATCGCGGACAAAACCCTATTTTGTAAAAATCAAGATAGTAAATTTTAAATTACGAGTTATAAAAAAAGAAAGCACAGAGATTATGATTTTAAAAGAAATATATTTTTTTATGATAAAATGCCCGCTTAAACTTGCTTAAAAAGTCACATTGTTCGTGTCGGTTTTTTAGAGCAAATTGTATGTAAGTTTTTTAAGCCCATTTTTGTTTTGCGAATTAATGAAAGGAAATGATGGTATATTTTACTACATTCCTTATCGTTGTTCTTTCATATAAAAGTCTAAAATTACAAATTTTACCATAAATACGGTTTTTATAAACCTTTTACCATCGCCTTTAAAAGTAGATAAATCTTTTACAAACCACAAGATATTTCGTTAGGTGTGCCTTGGTGTGACGCAAAGTATTTGGTACCAGAACGTTCATCAAATTTTCTTTTTTTAAAGTCAAAAGAATTAAGCTGCCTTTTTTTGCCTGTTTGGTCAGCAGAATATGAAATATGTCCATGAATTTATCATATTAGTCGAATATTTATAAGTCATCATAGTTGCCTTTTGCTAGTTCTAAAACGTCAGTTTCCAGTAAAAGTCAATCATACATACAATCTCATCGTGTTTTTGTGTTTATTAACGCTTTATAATAATATTTGGTAAGTTATAATATTAATATTATTAATATTAATAAATATTACATGTTTATTTGAATAACTTCCTTCTTTTTATGTAGAAATGCCATCAACGACTAATAAGGAGTTGTATGAACTTATTAAAAATGTTAATGACAAAGAAAAACACAACAAACTTTTAAAGTATCTAACCGAAAACCTGGATATTATTGATAAATCTTAAATTGTCCCCTGAATCCGAAAATATCGTCAAAAGTTAAAAAAGTAAAACAGTTTTTGAGATATAGTCAATTTTTCATTTAATATGGAATTGACTATATTTTAAAAACTGCTCCACTTTCATAATTTTTTATGGCATTTTCGGATTCAGGGGACAATTTTACATAAGAATTGGATGTTAAATTTTGGGATACCATTATATTCCATGGTTCCATGGTACAAGTAAAAAAGCAGCCAATAATAACTATTAAATTAGTCATTTTTGACTAATTCATTTTTAGAGACTAGGTGAAAAACGTGGATTTAACCGGTTTTGCGTCAACTTTTAAATGTTATTTTAACATCGATATAGGGTTTTTTGGACCAAGTCACTATAGTAGTCGATATAAATAAAGCAAAAGATGCGAAATTTCCAAAAAAAAAGATGTATCGAAAAAAATGTATATAAGTGATTTAGCTCGAATATTCCTTAATTGTTATTGTTTTTTTTGTTTATTTTTCTATTTTTAGCTTAGGTAATATTGCGTAATTGGAATTGGAAAATGGAGGATCGACAATACCGAACTTTTTCAAATTGTTTAAAACAAATTTGTGAATTTGTGTACATAATTAAAACATTTTATTAATATTAATATTTTAGCATAAATTTACCACCGCATAAACCTTAAAATGGCTTAAAATAATGTGTCCCTAATTTTGTCCGCGATTTTTGAAATTCCTCCCACTGTGGGCCGGTCTGATATAGCCAGCACGCCCCTGCTCGTATAATAAATTACTATTATTTGTTTAGGTACCTTCTGTTGATTTTATGTACCTATGCCATAATCAATAACTTTAGTGTCGAGTGTTGACGACAATATAGTTTAATTTATAGACCGTTTGAAGACAAAAGTTATTACATTTTTTTTTCGCTGTTTTCATACCTACTTATTTTTAATTTACAATTAGACAACTTTTCATTTGGGCGATACTAACAGTATCCTTAAAAAACACAAACTTTTCTTAAGTATCTACAGGATGATTGTTGTTTGTGAGTCTTTTGTCCAGTCCGAAAGCGTCAGTGACGTGCGTGGGCTTTTTCGTCAGGGACAGATCGTCGGGCCCGCCCGGAGAAATGGGCCGAGGACTGGGCGAACTTCTTAAGCTGTGCGGACTGCGGGATCCCGCGCTTGGAGAGCACTGGCACGGCATCGGACATCCGGGATTCATCACCGGATAATCCGTTTTTTCCGGATGTTCGCCCGGATTTGGCAGCGGACCGTTCGGTCTTCCTTGAAGGAAACATAATATTTATTTACATGTATGACTACTAGGTAAGCCTTCTTAAGAATTTTAAACCGACAAAACATTAAAGTCTGAATTATAGATTGCCTTCCTTCCTTTCTTCCTTCCTTCCTCCCGTAGAAGATGAACAAAACAAAAACCCTGAAAAACCTGTTTTCCTGTACGGTAATATTTAAATGGCAGTACGATTGCTGTATCTTCTACGGGAGGAAGGAGGAAAGGAAGGAAGGAAGGAAGGAAGGAAGGAAGGAAGGCAATCTATAATTCAGGCTTAAGTCTATTTGCGAAACTTCTTTGGCTGAAGTGTTGATTATTCTGCGATATTGTTTTTTAAAAATTTAAAAATACCTAACTAGCTTCAATTTGCTGGTCACATGCTTACACAGTTTAAATGTTAAAAAGTTCAGTTCTTGCAATAAAAAATAGTTACCTGATAAAATAATCTGTGGAGAGGTTATTCCTAAACAACGCATCCGCCATGCATCTTGAAGAAGTTGGAGCCTGGCTTGTTTCCTCCATTTGGCTCTTCTGTTTTGAAACCACACCTTTAAAAACGGATTTGTCATTTGTTTTATTTTGTGAATATTTTGTATGCTAACACATGTGTATGTAAATTATTATTATAATACTTGTTATCAGTGCTGGATTAACCTATAGTCTAACCTAGGCCAAGGCTCATTTTTTCCGATTTTGTTATTAAAATAAAAAAGGGTATACCCCTGGATGTCGGCCATACCGCAGCTCTTGCCGACAATGCACTGCGGCCCCGTTAAAATTTTTTGCATGCATGATCAATAATCTAGGATTTTAAAATAAAAAACTACAACCACTGGCTTTTAGCCAGTTGATTTTTAACATTTGTAAGTAATAATTGTTAATAAATCGTGCCCTACTTGCTCTCCTTAAATTGTCTTAATCCGGCCCTGCTTGTTATATTATTTAATCAAATACTTTAACCGAAGATATCTAATGTAAGATTGTTTCTAATTAGACTATACAAAATTAAATAATACATATTTTTTAGTTCTAAATAAATAAATAATTTTGTTCTGTTCCCACCTTTAAAACGCCCATTATCGTACATGTTTGCATGACACTAAGTGTTCTTTAAAATACACATTGACAATCTATAGCTTTATGCCACTTTAGTCACGGGATAAAGTTAGCAACAGGTTTTTAGTCAAGGGCAGAAGTTAGCTTTAAGTTAGTTGACAGTGGTCAAGTCATATAATCATTAAAATAATGTGTGAAATAATACTAAATGTGAAAATTATTTCAAAATTACATTTCAAAAATTACAAAAATTCAAAAGTATTAATTAGTTATTAACGCCAATTTTAAAAAGGTTTGTACTGACCTTTAGATTTTGACCACAGCACGGTCTCATATCATGTTTTGTTAGGCTTATTATATAAGACTGTGGTCGGGAGTAAACTAGATTTTACGGACAAAGCAATAAAAATTTCTGGTGGACTCCACCGTGGAGTACATATATATATATATATATATATATATATATATATATATATATATAAAACATTTTCATAACTTTCACTGTGGAAAACTACTTCTATATCGGATTTAAACGGTTTTTAGTTCATTATCAAGGGATAAATTTCGATTTACACAGAAAAATTTCACATTTGCCGCCGGTCATACAGATTCCCATTCTTACGGATACTCTATTTTTGTATAGATGTTGCTCTATACAAATATTTAATTTAAATCTTTTTTAGATAATAATAGGTATTTGTCGTATAAAAAGTATAGTATGCGACTCGTTTATAAAGTTGTCTAGACAATCATTTATTTAAACACTCGCTCGCAATGCTCGCTCGTGCCTAAAATGGCGTTTATCAATCTTGATACATAATATACTATTTTTTTGTAGTACCGCAAAAAATATACATAAAAATCGAATTATGAATAATGAAGGAACCGATATTTTAATAATAAATCAGGAAATTTATTAATTCGCCCAATCTCAGAAATTACAAATGTATACCCTGCGGGTATTCAATAAATAGTCTTTATTGTTGATATTATAATTTATGACATACATTCCTCCCTGTGTAAAGACTTAATCCTCCCCATGTATATATTATCATTACTCCCGTTTTTTTTTGGTGAGAAATATGTACTTTTCTCCTGCTACCACGACGACGCTACATTGTGATTGACTTTAAATGTAAACTTCAGAGTTAAATAATTAAATTGATGAATTCATCGAGGGCAATTGCGATTCCACCAGTCGAATAAAGACAATTTTAATTTTATCGATATTTTACAAAACTTAAAAAAACTTGTCATAATAATACAAGTCCAAAAAGCTTAATTTTGTAAAATCAATTTTAAAGTTTAAAATACATTTTTGTGAGAAGATATAAATCAGTTGACAGAATATGAATATTATATTTTATAAAATAATTAAAATATTTTCACAAAAATGTATTTAGAACTATAAAACTGATTTTTTGAAATAGTTTGTCAAAATTTTAACTTGTCGACTTGTACTGTTCTTAATCTCACCGATTCAATTATTATCACAAACTTGTGATTATTATGAAGTTTACAATTAAAGTCAATCACACTGTAGCGTTGTCATGGTATCAGAAAAAAGTAAGTAGCTTGTTCTTTTATGTATATTATGACATTGCGTGATAGTTGCTTTGATAAATAAATTCAAGATAAAATCCCTGTATATTTTTAATACTAGCAAATGAAGCATTTTATAATTCAGCTTATGGATCTTTTATGCATTTTGTAAATAAATAATTGAGTATCTACATTATGAAATATTAGATAGTATATTATGTATCAAGTTTTATAAACGCAAGTTTTATTAGGAACGAGCGAAGCTTGCGAGCGAGTGTTTAATAAAAACGAGTGTCTAAAGAAGATTATACTACGAGTATAATTAATTTATCTATAGGACGAACAGATATAAGAATTAAAAGTAAATTTTAATTCATAAAAATTCGACATTTGACGAATTTAACCTCACTTTTTTGCAATTTATAATAAAGCTAAGCCAAGTTTATAAAACGAGTTGCATACCATACTTTATCTACGACAAAAATAAATAAGAATTTAAAGCCAATTTTTATTTGACATTTGACAGATTTAACCTCACTTTTTTGCAATTTATAATAAAGCTAACTTTAGCCCGTGACTTAAATGCTCAAAAGCCACTGTTGTTAACTTCAGCCCGTGACTAAAACGTCACAGCTTATCAATGTTGGAGTAAATAAAATATTAAACGATTCATGGCCGCAAAGTGCTGTAACAGTACCTACTGTGTTCTCCTTCATCGCCTTGTCTGTTACAATTCACTTCACGACCTTGTAACATCCCAATTCCGACATACCTGCACTCTAGCTTCCGATAAGCTTATCCTTAAGGCCACTTCTTCTCTAAGAAACACATCGGGATAGTGAGTCTTTTGAAACAGAGCCTCAAGTTCTTGCAACTGTTGCGGACTAAACGTCGTCCGATTTCTTCGTTGTCTTCTTCTACCGAACATGTATTCCGTCAACAAATCGCCCGGCAATGACGACAAATACGGTCCGGCCATTATTTGTTTTTATGAAAGCAATAGTGAAACAATAGATGCACTAAATGAAGTGAGCAGTAAATAAACGAAAGAGTTTATAAACTTATAAGTTGGTGGTAATTCTTGATTTAGTTGTGAGAATCTCCGAAACCAAGTTATTATCTCAATCGTCTCAAAACGCAAACTGCGTTTGAAAATCGCGAATTATCGTTGAAATTGAGCGTCGCTCCGCCTTTTTCGTGTTGATTGGTGGCGCGCGGACGCCCATCCGACGTCGCGACGCCAATAAATGAGGGCGACGTCTAATAGAATAAGCTTTTTATTGGCTGCTCACCTGCAACAAGTCGTCGGAGTTTTCGGATTTTATTTATTGTTTTCTCCCTCGGTCCTTCAAGGTATGTGTTCTCCATGATTCTGTTGCGTTAATTAATAAGTTTGAGTGCTTTTTATGTTTTTTGTTATGAACATTTATCCGTTTAATTTTAATTAAAAAAGTCGCTTCTTTATGCTTAAAACAAGTAGGTACTTTTTAAAACATTAATATAAGTCGTTTTTTCGCGTAAATACCATGAAATACTATGGTCATTAAACTTAACCTTGGTTAATAGTTTAGGCATTTTTGCGTTTAGAGTGCGTTCAAAAATCCTAACTATGACGTCACAAATACCAGACCATAAAACTATATCGCTGAGCTAGTTATTCAACGTGGTTAATAGTCTTTCTCTTTTTAATATATATATTTAATATGTTTATGTAGGAATAATGTTGTGTGCTAAACATATCTTCTCCAAAACATACCGCCAACCTTCGTCTTTTTCTTTGGGGTTCCATTCAAAATTTTGAGTTTCACAATAATAATTTTCGTATAAACGTTAAACACTGTTGGATTTTAATTATGGTAAACAACAGTGAAGAACTGTTTATATATAAAAAGAGGTATAGAAAAGGTAAGTATAAGAACTAGGGTTCATAGAAAAAGAATATACAAGGTAAAAGAAGAGGCAAAGAAATTTATTTACACCTGTAAAAGCATAGAAATTAAATATAAATAGGTAAAAACACATTTTAAAAATTATAGGTTATGAACAAGTAAACAAATGTCAAATGTTAGAAACCTAACCATGGTTATATGAATTAACTGTGACGTCATGACTTATTTAACCGTAGTATTTCATAGTATTTACGCGAAAAAACGACTATAGAGTTTTTTCTAAAAGACATTACGTCTTTAATAGGTATTACAAAATACCTACCTTGTATGTTTTTTCTAAAAGACATTACGTCTTTAATAGGTATTACAAAATACCTACCTTGTATGTTTTTTCTTAATAATAAATTATTTTAAAATTGCAAAATACATTACTTAGATCCGTAGAAAATGGAGTGGAAGGTAACGTTTTTTGATACTCGAGTATAATGAAAAAATGTAGGTAGGTATACAGTATAGTACAGTACAGTAGCATACTACTAGTATACTAGTACCTATACAGTGTCGGAAATTCCGTAATTTCCTATAGCCCGCAAGCCAGTGGTCGTAGGTTTGAGTCCCACATTGGTATGGTTGTTTTTTTGTGTTTGTCCTATTGTGTATTAGTCCTTCAGAGGGGACTGTATGCCCACGGTCCGTTCCTACCCCTCACCCGCTCAAGCCATTCAGTTCCCAGCAAACAGAAAATCGTAAAAAACACGTGACATTTTGGTAATATTTCAACCATAAAACGTGTTTTTTACGTATATACCTAATACGAGTTATCAACGTTGGAATGTCACATTTTTTTGACGTATTTTGTGGACGTAATTAAAACGTGGTAGTTAGACGTTAACGTGGTTAAGACGATTTTTAAAGACATCTTTAATACGTCTTTACGTCCATTTTAGACGTCTTTAAGGTATAAAATTGACGTGTTTTGGTTGTTGAATAATTTCTCAAAAATAGTGCTGTTTAACATTAAATGTTAAATTTTATAAAAAGCTTTTGCTAAAAGTAAGTAGTGGGGCCCACTGCTTACTTTTCGCAGAGTGGGCCACAAGACCAGCTGTGTTCCTTCAAAACTTACAAGCAGAAGGGGTATGGTCAGTAATTTTGCCTTAGTAAGAAATTCTTACTTAGCAGCTTAAGGTATTACACCTTTATAGGGCTATCTATTGTGCTACAGAGGCGAGAGGTATGCATGGGTTGCCTACATATTGGCGAATTTTGAAACATTTTGATGACGTCGCATATTCGTCTGATTCTGGTATGAAATAAGTGGTCAGATAATGGCGAGAAATATACGTAATTTTTACGTTTTATTTTGACGTTTATTTTTACCTCTTAAACGTCGTTCGTCATTTTCTGTTTGCTGGGTACTTAGGTACATATTTCGTCTAAATTTTACGTGTATCAAACGTACACAGAAAAAAAGGTTTAGTTAGCCCAACTATTATTTGTTTCATTTAACTAAATATGTTGTTTCAATAGAGCCAACCAAACATTTAGTTATTTTAACAAGCGCATTTGGTTATATTTTACAACTATATATTTGGTTGAAACAAACATTTATATAGTTAAAGTGACCTTTACCTACCAGTCCAATGTACTAAATACATTTGGTTGAATTGACTAAATATAATTTGTTACCCTAACTAGGTTAACGGCTTGGTACAACTTACCCATATCGTTTGGGGCATTTAACAATAAAAATAAGATCTTGAAATGTTTGGAGTAGAAAAATTTTTTTAAGCCATTTTCTTATATTCTTAAAAAAACAGGAAGGTCCTTGACGCATTACTAGTATAATACCAGAGGTATTATTCCAGATAATTAAACCTTCACCTCGCTAGAGATAATGTTTTTAGTGCGTTCCACAAACTTAATAAAATACTTCAAGTATTAACAGCTGTTTCCACCTATTCAAGGTCTCTTTAGTATCGAATAACTTGTAGTGTCACACCAAAGCAAAGGACAACCTCACCTTATATACTCTTCATGTAAGTCAACAGAGGCGAGATTTAAGAACATCACGCGATCCACACCGCCTTTGCCGCGATCGGTACATACTATGCAACCAGGAATGCACGGCAAATTGTTTTAGTCATTTTAACAGAGTGCTTAAGGTTGAAGTAACTCTTATTTTACAAAAAACATATTTAGTAAACTGAACCATACAGCGGGTTGGTTTCACTAAAGTTTTCTGGGTTAATTTAACCAATTTAAAAAAATAAAATGACTATCTGGTTTAGTACCGTTAAACTAATCTTTGTTTATATTAACCTTCCCACGGTTGATTTAAATAAATATGGGTCAACTAAATTAATACCCAGGCAACACAGTGACGTGAATATCACGTTTAATTTACGTCTACGGTGACCTCGAAGTCACCAACTTAGACACGTCTTATCGTCGTAAAATTGACGACAATATGTCACAGCGATTTCACGTGTAAAATCACGTAATATTACGTAATTATTTACGTAATTTGACGTAAATAATCACGTAATATTTCTTGAATAATATATGATTAGGTCATACACTGATAAAAATAATTACCGATACTGATATCAGATATTTCAATGCGAAATGTGATTTTGTCAAAATTTAAAAAACAAAAATATTTTAGTTGTACTTTTAAATTTTAAGAAATAAATAGGTAAACCCTACTATATATAGTATATATATACTACTATAGTAGATATATATTTAGTAAATAATTAATAATCAAAATAAATGTATGTAAAAAGTATAATATCAAAAAAAATTTGTTAGTTAATCTTTGCAGAAACACATTGGCATTAAAATATCGGATATAAGAATAAATAATTATTTTTACTAGTGCATAAAGGGCTTTTGGTTTAATAATTAATAAAACATGTTTGAAGTTGCTCAAAACATTTATTATAAAATCAAACACATTAAATTTTAAGACAGATGACAGGTCAATATTTTAGGAGCTTATGTAGGTACTTCATTTAGGTGTTATGACTTCGTTACGGAATATACTGAGTAATTAAAACAAACAAAAATTGACCTACCTGACACAGCCAAAGTATTATCAGTATAAATTGTTTGTTCTATGTATAAATGCCACAAATTATAAAAGTTGGACGCTTGAATCAACCATATTGTTTTTTAGGAATAAACGTTCCCTCGCTTTGTAAGTAGTGTCAAAGAGAAACAGGGTTGCCAGGTGTAAAAATTAATATTATCGAAGAGGGTTGACAAAATGATCAAATTTACAGAAAATTATATAAAATTATCAAAACAAAAATTGTATAAAAACAAGCAAAACTACGCGGCGGATTAAATTATGTTACAATTATCGATTATTATTTAAATTTTACTATTTTAAAAAAGAAAATTATAAAACATCTGGCAACACTGTAGATAAATAATTTTACTAAAATTAAAATTGTGATTGTCAACTGCAGTAACATGTTAATTTCTTATTTTGTGATGAAATGATAAAGGATTTAAAAATCGCGAATTTGTTTTAAAAAATCCATTGATCCTTATTAATCTATCTTAATTAGTTTAAATCCAAATAATGTTTAAAATTATTTTAATAAAATATTGCACGTTGATTCTCCGTCGAAATAACGTAAATTAAATAAAAATAATAATTTTTGTTTTTAAAAATATTCCAAAACTTTTTGTCGGCCCATTAAACCGGGCCAACTGTTTCTTATTAATTATCACTAAGTATATTTTCATATTTTCTTAAAAATTTCGTCATCTGTTCACGTGATAATGACGTCATTTATTGGTTATCATCGACCTAAGTTAATAATTGGTCGTGTTTTGGTGAATTTTGAGACGTCGAAAAATGGTTGAAATGTAACTTCGACCAAATTCGACCCAATTCGTCGACGATTCTACGTGATTTCTACGACCCTGTGTTGCCTGGGTATAGTTAAATTAACCATTCCTTTTTTTCTGTGTATTTTTAAAACTTCTCAGAATTCCTCTGGTAAGTACCTACCTTCTTGATTTTGACTGAAAGAACTGTATGGGAAGTTTTTTTATGTTTATGTAATATTTTAAA